GAAGTTCGATTAACGTAATTTTTTTTTTTTTTTTTTATTTTCATTTTCCTCTGTTTTCCCCTCCCCCCTTTCCTTCGTTTCCGCGCGATCGCGAGAAGAAGCAGCGAAAAGCTCGATGCTTCGTCCCGTTATCCTGTATCTGTATACCGCGTGTACGTGTACGTGTATGCGTGTTCCGTGTGGTATCGTGATTCCTAAATACACAGAGTGTCCCGATGCGCGTGCAAACGCGAGTACCTAATTTCTTTTCCATTTCTTTGTTGTATAAGAGACGTATAACATTAGTAATTAGAGGCATCTATAGTATTGCTTCTCGGTTCAACGAATTTACGAAGATACCGGGCACGGTACAGGTGTGATCTACGTACGTTGCGACGTCGTAACACGGTGAGACGTTGTTGCTCGATTCACCGGAAACAACGGGCGCGTTTATTGCGCTACTTTGCACCGACGGTGTCGGTCGATTCACATTTTTAATTCCATTTGTAAAGAAATTTGCGGCAACTTTGGGTCTCCAGCGACCCCGAGATCCAATTTCAGCCGGGTGTCGCCTTCGGTTAAATTATTCAGACGCTCTTGACTGGTAACGCGAAGCAGCTTGGAATTCTTTTTCTTTCTTTCTTTTGCGAAGAAGAATTTGAAGCATCCATGCGGAGCAAATTGGATTTACCGTCGGTGGAAATAGGCTTTTCGCGCGGCAAAGTCGTCTCTGTGATTAACGCAGAGCGCAGTCGAGGTTTCCGGGATCTAGCAACAGCGGCGACACTGTGCTCGCGGAACCCCTATCCGAAAAATCGCACAAGTCCGCTCGAAGATGGTACACGAATCTCTGGTCGAATGGCAGCTGCTGAAAAGAACCGTTTTCGCGTATCTTTTCGCCTGGGAACTGGCCAATTTTATCGAAGCTCTCCCTTTTCCCTTTAAACGTCGTCTTCATTTTTGTCGGCACTCCCTTGTATACAAAGCTAACGACTACTTACTTAACATCGTGATTTTTCACCTCTTTCACCGTTATTTGTTTCTTCTTATTTTCTTTATTTTTTTTCTGTTTTTTTTTCTTCAAAATGTTCTCAGTTTGAACGGCATTCTCTCGCTTATCGTCTAACATTTACCGTTTATAACGTTAGTTCGTACTTTTTGTGAACGCATTGAAAAAACACACGTGCAAACGCGTTTTACATTATGCAACGATCGTCGCCGAGATCACCCTCATAGTGTAAGAGATCATAACAATAGTACGTCGATTTAACGTTAGATTATCATTATTACTTTATAATGCGTTGTGTCGTTGTCTCTGAATAAGTCAAGTCGGTTCTTCCTCTTCACAGTTACGCCGGTGTAATCTCTCCCTTCCGGAACCTCGAGGAACCCTCGTACCCTTCCGAAGATTTTTCCCTTTTCCCTTTTCTCTTCCGTTTCTTTCTTTTTTTTTTTTTTTTTTTTTTTTTTATTTATTTTTTCTCCCCTTTCAAACGTAGCTCGAAGAAAAATCGAACACCGAGTTGGACCGACGGCGACTCGAGGTTCCGGAAAACACAGTTGCTTCTCGTCTTCCGTTCATCCTTCTCGCCTTGGCGGGGTTACGTGGAACGAAACCACCGCGAAAACTTTTGGTTATACTAAACGCAGGTCTAGGTTACGCGCGAGACTATGTACACGGAGAAAAGAACGTAACATCTGTCGCGTAATTTTTACGTTTCGGCGCATATCGTACCTAACGCGTTACATTCTTTGCGAATTTCTTCCTCCTTCAAACGCTTGCCGGATAATTAAGTACCTATGGTAGGTTCGTTAACTATCGTTTACATATTAATTCCACGCGTGCCTCGTTTCGACGGATCAGTTGTACTTTGCCAGCGAGTACTACTATGTAATTACAGTCCAATTTGCCGAGATCACCGATCGTGACCGTCTCCTTGCTTGAAGTATACTACGTTCGGGGGTGACACGTCGAAACCAGACACGAGGCGCTGTTTTTTTACGTTTTTAATTTAATTTCTTATTCGATTTTTCTCTTCACGATTACGATCGCCTATGAAACACGAATCAAATAGATTTAGGTATTCGTTTATATCACTTGCCACGTGCTGCATGCAGGCTTAGGGTGGCTTGAGGTAAAGGATGCGAAGGGTAGAGCGACAAGTCGCCTGGAATCGCGCGATTTCAGGCGTCCGCGCAGAGTGAGGGTCGGAGAAACTCGTTAAAGGGAATTAAGGAGATCGAGGATAGACAGTTCGTACCAATGGAAAGGATAAAAAGAATCAGAGAAGAAGAGAAAGCCTGAAGTGTATTCACGCGACTGGTATACTTTGAAATTTTTATTTCTCTCAAAAGTCATCCTTATTTTCGTCCCTGTTTTCACGGACCGCGTTTTTTCGCTCAAGTTTTTGCCCGAATGCAAAGGATCACGGAAGATCGTCACGCGTAGGCTACGTTTTCATATCTCCGTCGTTTTCCCGGATTATTCTCGTCTCGGTTTCGAACGCCCGTCGAGCTTCGTCCTTTCCTTTGTCCACTTCCGCGTTTCTCGCCAGCCACTTCCGCGCGATTTCTCACGCTCGATGACACGATGACAACTCGCGGGGGGGTGGAAGGATGCGATTTCGCGGCGGTGAAGAATCGTCGGCAAACGGCCTGCTCACCCAAATTCTACGGATTATCGAGTTGAAAAATGCGCGAAGATCGCGAACGAAAGTTCTCGAGTGGAAATTTCGAGTGGCGTAAATTGGAAACTCGTGGGAAAGAATCGTCGATAAGTCGTGTTAACCATCGTTTACTTCGAAATCAAACACACGCAAAGCTTTTCATCGATCCGTTGAAACTTACGCGTAGAGCTTTAACGATAAACACCGAGAAGGGAAAAGAAAGGGGAAAAGAAAGAAAGTAGGAAAGAACACGGTGGAAAACGTTGAGCTAATTAGACTATAGTATGAACATTGACTAGAGAGACAGTACGACGAACAACGTTCATGCTGATCACATCGAGAAACAACAACGACACACGACATTAATCAGCGGTAACAGTGTCGCGACGACAATAAGACTCCATTTTTTTTTTTCCATTTTTCTTCGTTTTATTCGTTTTCATATTTTTTTTTTTCTTTTCCTTTCTTTTTCTTTTACGTGACACATGCATTAAGTAGTCGTGACTTTAAAGAGAAGAGTCGAGCATAGCGTAGTAGCGACACATCGAGCAATGGAACTGCGAGACGACAGGCAGAGAGAAAACTTTCCGCGTTCAAAAGATGAGAGAAAAAAGTCAGAGCAAGAGAGTTTGAGGGAGAGAAAGAGAAGGAGGGAGGATGAGAACAGAGAGAAAGAGTTGAAGAGAGCGCAAGGAATAGGAAAACAGTGTACGAACTATACATAGCTACCAGTGTTATACGCTAAGCTGTTTTGTACGAAGTTGCGGGGTAACTCGATGTCCAACTAAATCACTTTCTCTCTGTCAATCGTAGTAACAAAAACGGTCTTTCCCCGCGTGTTTCTCTCTCTCGGGTTGCACCGAAACTCGTCCCTTTGTCTACCGTCTTTTCCTAAATCCGAGCACTTGGTTAACGAGCAGTTAATTAACTTCGCGTTGGTATTTATATCGAAAAATTCACAAGAAAAAACGTACGAGTATATTCTCTCTAGAATCGATATAGATGTAATGTATATATCTTCGGATTAATAATTGAGTAATTGACTTCAAGTGTATGCCGAGTAGATCCCATAGGAGAATCAGAGGCTGCGAGATAATCTTTTTTGAATTCGGTCGGTTCGGGATGCTTGGACGGGGAGGAAAAGGGCGTGAGGGCAAGGACGAAGACTATGGTAGAATCTATGTAGGTACTTTTCAAGCGTTTCCATCTAGAAGATCGATCGGTTACAGCGAGAAAGAATGCGAGCCCGGGGATCAACGAAGATCATCGCGATACGCGATACGTCTATTAATCTCTCTGTACTTTCTTCGTTTTCCGAGTATAGCAAAATACGCGTTCTAGTCCGAAGTCTACGCTTCTCGGAATGATCTTCGTAGATCTCACGCGTGATAAGAGAAGATCCAACCAACGACATCGATATCGACAGACAAGAGAGAGAGAGAGAGAGAGAGAGAGAGAGAGAGAGAGAGAGAGAGAGAGACAGATAGCATGCACGTTGAGACACGAGAGAGACTACGTCGAGTTAGATTCAAACACGAGACACGTCCGGTTCAGCTTGCTGCTTGCTAGCTTCCTTAGTAGGTCCTGGTTGCATCGCGTTGGGCGATCAAGATTCGCGTGACTCCGCAAAATGGCGCGATTCGATGGCCGCGACGTCCGTAACGATAAAAGCGAAGAAAAAGGGGAGAGGAAAAAAGAAAAATAAAAAGAAAAGGGGAAAGAAAAAAGCAGAGGGCATAAATCCGAATCTGTGTGCTCGGATCACGGGTGCCTTAAGTTTCCGCTGAAACTTCCCCGGCAATCCAGCTGGTCGAAGGGATATAAAGTCGAGCACCAGAGACGCTGGAAAAGTTCTCGGTTTGTTTTTCGCGGACAAACACCTGCCAAGAGATATTTCACGGCATCGGGATTGAAGCGCGGAGAAAGGAGCCGAGCGCGGGATTCGCGATGGTTTTTCGAAAAGTTCGGGAAAGCAAGGAAGCTGCTGTTGGTTGAATTCCTCGCAGCGGCGAAAAGTTAGTTCTCTCGTGCTCGTTTGGAGAATTTAGCGATCGGAGAAACGGCCGGGTTCGAGGAGCCCCGATAACGAGGGGCACCGGTTCCCGCGATTTGCTTCATTGTTCGTTCGTAAATAATTATATAGTTGCCGAAGCGATGTTCGGCCGGAAATAAAATAGCGGATCGTTAAAAGTTGGCGAATTTTTAATATCGTAAAGTATTCTCCGCCTCCAATTACCCGTGGCTCGAAGTTGGAAAAAGTATCGACGCGTTACGGAGTTGGAGAGGAAGAACTTTCCATCGCGGTGTAAGGTGGGCTCGCTGGCCCAGACGTTTTCGGTAAATCGAATTCGCGTTGCGGAGTTAGGCGAACCCGGTGAAAATCCGCGGACGTGCCCAAGAACGATCGGAAATCGTCGGCGCTATCGACTAAGAGGTGCGTTTTACGTTTTACACATCGAGAAACAACAGAGTGCACACTGAAAGCTGGCACATGCGTCCGTTTGTACAGCGGATACGTTTTGGATAGAAGGCCTTCCGACTTCTCGCTTTCGACTGACGTTGAAGTTGCTTCTTTTCTCGATTGGGACGCGGTCCTAAATGTAACACACTGAACTCGATGAGACGAGGAAAGCTGTTTCAATCTCTTTTCTTCTCCCGTTGGATCTCGTTTCGTACATTGCACGTGTACGCGCACTCGTGTTATACGCGTGTTCGTAATTATTCGTCGGAGCAGTTTGGAACTTTTTCCTTTTAGAACTCGATGGATCTTTCCTCGCGTGTGCGGCATATCGTCGAGAAATGCTTTTTCCCTAGCCCGAATGGTCAAGTATGATAGAGCGCGTGTTAGGAGAATCTCGAGTTCGCAAAGAAATCAGAGGATAGCCGTTGCTTTAGAGTCAGAATCAATCGAGAGATCTCGATAGACAAGAAGAATATAGATACGAAGAATAGATCGGTATCAGAACGAGGAACGATATTGAACATAAGAAAAGTACACTTTCGTATCATCTTTTCGTCACTCGTACAAAAGCGATTTCACGCGTTAAATGGCACGTTGTGTTCGTCTTCGCGCTTCCTTCTCCATCGCGGCTTCTGGCATATCCGCCCTATACATATACCAACTCAGAACGTTACGACATACGCAAGAATCTATGTTACGAGATATATTTTTAATTTAAACAGAGTTATTCTCAGTCTCTTTGTTAAACGTGGATCTTCCGA